CTTGCAAGCAAAATATGTAAGAATTTTCACCTAATTCGCTATCCATTAGAACACGCGCAAAAAGATATCTTTATCTCTGCTGCTTTCAATGTCGCTATGTTAAGGCTGCCTAATGGCCATTTGGCTGGCGTTCTGGTACCACAGGCTTCAGATTCGAATCTTGATGGGGGCATGGATGTTTGTTAATCGTTCGAAATCACCTTAAATTATAGCTCCCGGTCTAATTAGCATAAAGTATACACAAAATAACCGTAGAGAGACAAGCCGATACAACACAAGAGAAGGTCCCTACTCCCCTTTGGCATTCAGGAGAAATGGTAATTTGGCGTCGAGTCTTTCACCCAAGAGGAACTACAGCAGAAGCAAGAGCTACCGCTGAGAAACATTTGATTGACAATCTCTCATCCCCAGATGAAGTAAATTAAGCTCAGCCCTGCGCTTTAGTTGGTCTACCAACTCTCACCCAGAGAGGAAGTATTTTTCCCGCATCCTGCGCTTAACTGAATATCGACTTTTTGGCTTAGAAAGGGAATCCTTCTAAATGCAACCCTGTGCATTAGTTGGTCTACAAAATATCATCCGCAGGAGGAGTATATTTCATGCATCCAGCGCTTTGCTGAGTATCGAATTTTCGGCCTAGACAAGGAATTCTTCCACAAATATATAATTATATATCTTTAAACGTGTAAAATATAATTGTAGGTGTGTGTGTGTGTGTGTGTGTGTGTGTGTGTGTGTGTGTGTGTGTGTGTGTGTGTGTGCGTGTGTACATAAAGCTGTGAGTTCTTCAACCTGTACCTCAAGTATTTCCAACCAACCACACCCAGGTGCAATCTGGTTTCCCAACTTACATACTGAAACCTTTAATTTATATTAGCATAATGGTTAACACTTTAACGAAAATTAACTATTTTTCCTATTTCTACATACACTTTTCAATTAAGCTCGAATATTATATTTTTGAATTTGAAACTGAATTTTATATTTTATTCTGAAACATTTGCCAATAAAAAATTGCTACATCTAAAATTAATTTTAAGTTCTGTTGGCAGTTATTAATTTGAGAAAGTTAATTCTAAAAATTGTTATTGCAAAATCTTTCACGAAATGTTGTTTTAGCTGAAAACATTTAAAATGATAACTTTCATTAAGTTACAAGAATAATGAATTCCACAAAACCTAGAATAAATATAATCTCTTACAGAATAATAATCACAGAAACAACATTCGGTAACGATTAGCGATATTCTTTCCAAAAATAATCCACAATCCATAACAATAATAACTGTAATAACTTTACTTTTATTCTAAAGCTATGGATAGAAATCTTTGTTTCAATTTGCAATTTTTCTAATGAGAACCCTACGAGAACCAAAATTACTATTTCTGAGATTTCCTAGCCAGGAAACTCGCCAGATGTTGCAGCAAATTCGAAGAGGAAAATCTATTTAATACGGCCATATTCTGCTTTTGTATTTGTTAATACTGAGTTTCTATTATCGAACTTGAACGCGAGTTTTGAGGTATTAAAATCTTCAAACAAAGTTCGCATAGTAATGATATATAATATGAATAATATAATGATTTTTCACTTCAGTCATTTCATTATTCCACCAGGGCATTTCCCTCCTTTAAAATACCAATTACTTTAGCTCCAACAAAGCACTAAAAATCTCCCAGAATTTTAATTAAAAGGAGCGATCGTTTTAAGTCATCCTCTAAATAATTTTAACAACAAATTTAATCGCTTTTAAATTGCATATAAACACCTGACTTCTGAACCACAGTGACTATATCTACCACCTTTCAATGAAAAAAAATCACCCTCTTGGAAAATTGAGGAAATATTGTAAACTGTGGATGCAACTTAATAAGGGCCTAACATAAAAGACGAGGCCAAGATCGCAAACTCATTATTCTTTTCTAAGTACTTAGGCGTGCAGGGCCCTAGGTTGATTCTTTTCGTCGTTCTATTAATCACCAACTTTTATTCTGCCCATAAATAAAACATCTCTTCAGTCGCCACCAACCTTTAATTATCAAAGTAGTCGCCGGAGTGTTAAATCAATCAATAAACTCGGCAACTGCCGATTAATGCCTGCTAAAAACAACTGGAGAGTCGCGAAGTAATGAGGCAAAAGGCATGCGTCGTAAAAAAAAGACCCCGGGTCCTAAAAATGATTAATGTACTTTGGTGTCTAGGGGTAATTATAGTAATATTTTGCAGACATGTTTGAATAAAAAAAAATTGTTTACGCGACGTAAGCTTAACTTTCTGGTTTGGTGCTTGAGTAGAAATCCTAAATGGACTTGAGTTCGAAGATAAAAAATAAAAAAATATTATTTTTTCCTCCTATAAAAATAGTTTTTTTCATACTCGATGTATTTTAAAACAATGAACGATATCTTTAAATCTCTAAAATCTTTATTAATAAAGTTTTATGAATTTTTTTAAACTATTTTTCGTATTCATAAAAATTAAATTAATTTAATAAATGCTATTGAATCAAATATAAGAATTAAATTAGTTAATTAGAGATTGTCTTAAGTAGAATTTTTTTTAAAAATTTTAAATAAATAATATAAAAATAATAGAATATTTACGATAAATATATATGATATATATCAAACGATAAATATATGCAAAGCTAAATACATACAATACAAATCCTATTTATCGAACGATAAATATAAACAAAGATAAACACATAAAATACAAGTGACATTTTTCAAATGATAAACATAAACAATGGTAAATACATAAAATACAAGTGATATTTATCGAACGCTAAATATATCAAAAAGTAAGTATTTATCGAAAATATTTACCAAACGATAAATATTTTATTGTATTTATTTTACGTGTTCTATTGAATAACGATTAAATCCAAAAAATATTCTTAAAAAAAACCTAAATATTAATTTTTTTTTCATAATTTTTAATTCAATTATTTTCAAATAAATATATATGATATTTATCGAAAAATAAATATATAAAATCATAAATAGATACGACGGTAAATACATAAAATACAAATGATATTTATAGAACAATATATCAAATGATAAATATTTATCGAAAATATTCATCAAAAGTTACATATTTAATTGTATTTACTTTACTTGTTCTGTCCAAAAACGTATATATTTAAAAACATCTAATAATACTTTTATAAAATCATAAACAATAATATTTTTTCGTGATTTTTAATTTAATTATTTCCAAATAAATTTAATTTACTATCATATTTAATTTTAAATTCATTTTTTTTTCTGTTCACCGTTTATTAATACATTGTCATTTTTTTTCCTTCTATGGCTGTTTCAAAATTGTATTTTGACAATTTTTTTTTTCAAAATTAATCTTTTTGGATTGTTTTGAAAATTTTCAAATGTTTATCACAAAATTTTTCTTTTAATGTTCGATATTAAAAATAAATAAATTTTTCTTTTGAAGCCAAATTTAATATTTTCAGTTTACTTAATTAATGCCCTTGTTTACATAGCTACTGCAAATAAGTTACCTTTTTAATTTATTTAAAACACATATGTAAAATTTTCGTTAATGATGTAGTAAATAGTGTTTTACATTTAATTAAAATCATCCAAGTGATACTTTTAAAATTCATAAATATTACTATTTTTTATTTCATGATATATTTATTATTATTAATTTAATTATTTCCATATAAATTTAATCTTCTTTCTTTATATTTTTTATCTGTTTGCTGTTCATTAATTCCTTTTAAATTTTTTTTTTCTTGTTATACGGCTGTTCTAATATTGTATTTTATTATGACAAAAATATTTTTTTTTTCAAAATTAATCTTTTTGGATTATTTTGAAAGTTGCAAAAGTTTATCACTAAATATTTCCTTTAATATTCGGATATTAAAAATAAACAAATTTTTGCCTTAAAGCAAAATTTAATATTTTCAGTGTACTTAATTAATAACCTTGTTTACGAGGATTGAGTAAATAAATTACTTTTATTTAAAACAAGTATGTAAAATTTCCAATAATAATATATTAAATAATATTTTACATTTAATTAAAATAATCCAAGTAATACTTTTAAAAATTCATAAGTATTAATATTTTATCATGATTATTAATTTAATTATTTTCAAATAAATTTAATCTTCCTTTTACAGATATTATTTTTCTGTGCGCTGTTTATTAATTCATTTTCAATTTTTTTTTCTCCTAATATGGCTATTCTAAAATTGTATTTTCTTATGCCGAAAATATTTGTTTTTCAAAATCAATCTTCTTAGATTATTTTGAAAGTTATCAAATGTTTATCACTAAATATTTCCTTTAAAGTTCTATTTTTAAAAATAAACAATTTTATTTTTCTTAAAGCCAAATTTAATATTTACAGCTTACTTAATTAATACCCTTGTTTACATGGATTCTACAAATACTACCTTTCTATCTTAATTAAAACAAATAAGTAAAATTTCCGATAATGATATGTTAAATAGTATTTCACTTTGAAAGTTGTCGAACTGCTTTTTCTAATAATTTTTGAGACTAATTAGTTTAATGATCAATCGATATTGCACAGAGATCTCTATCGAAACATATTTACTGGGTATTTTATATTTTGCATGATTACACGTCCAATAAGATTTCGATACATATATTGTTGATGCAATTTTTCGTAAGTGCCATTAATTTAAGTCAATATTACATTTTTAGAACTCAACTAATTACTCGATTAGTTGTTAATGCTGGAAATTGATATTTAAATGTAAAGTACTGTATCTGTATGTAGATAAGTTAAAAATTGTTTTAGTCATTATCAAACTATTTTAATTACAAATATTTGAAACTTTTGCGAAAATTTTAAACAATCTAATAATAATACATCAGAATTAAATTTTATATACGTATCGTCTAAAAATATTCCATTGGAAGGAAATATGCAAGAAATATATTTAAAACAGATTAATTTCTGCCCCCACGTTCACATATGCATAGCATAGTTTGAGTTACCGATAGATCGCCGAAGTCAAGCATCATTGGGCGCAGTCAGTACTTGGGTGGATGACCACATGGGAACACCGCGTGCCGTTGGCATTCACAAATTTGGGACCTGAATGGCCGAGTGTCTGGCGCTCGGTGCCACAGGTTTCGGGTTCGAATCCCGTCGGGGACATGGATCTTTGTAGTGGTTCGGAATCCACTTCAAGCCGTATGTCCCGGTCTCCTATGACTCTAAGAGCGTCACGGAGCCAAAGTCAGACTTCTACCTACGGGTGCTCCTTCACAACAGAAGCTGCTTCCTTCCCCTTCACTCATGAGTATGTATGGGCTCATGGACTTGGCCAGCCAAGTGGCATAAGAAACAACAACATAGTTTGAGTTCTGTAGCTAAAGCTAATATGGAAATCATTGAAAGTTTTGAATTGTCTTGACTTGAAAATAAAGATCTTCGAATTTTTACCAATTCTCCTTGGTACTCCTTGGCAATATTAGAAAATCCGCTAATCCCCTCCTCACAACAAAAGTATTATTTGTAACGTTTTTTTTTTTTTTTTTTTTTTCGTTGTTTTGTTTTGTTTTTCTTCCGATCTCACTTGGTAGACAGCAATATCAAGACCAAGTCCAAGAACCCTTGTAGTCTAGACTACACTTGGGGTTTAATTACTTCTGTTGTGATGGGAGCACCCGTAGGTATCAGTCTAACTTGGCTCCATGACGCTGACACTTTTACGGTGTAGGGTTGTCAGCAGTATGCCCTACAGTCACATTAGATCGGGACCTATGGCTTTGAGTGCATTCCGAATCACTACAAATATCCAGGACTTGGTCTTGCGCATGGTCTGGTTGTTGTTCCTTATCCCACTTAGTAGACAGCAACATCTAGACCAAGTTCAAGAACATGTGTGGTCTCATGGAAGGAGGGAAAGGAAGGGGGCACCTTCTGTTGTGATGGAGCACCCGTAGGTGAAAATCTGACTTGGTTCCGTGATGCTGAAGAAGGTGGGACAGTGCCTTCCAGGGAGGACTTTTAGGTGAACTATCCCGCATCTGATTATGGTATGTGAGAAAACCTTGAAAACTCCCCCCAGGTATTAAGACTAACGAGGCATGATGCTGAACATCACAAACGCCATAAAATATCCGCGTTTTTTGAAAAAGTATCTACAACAAAGCCGTCAGGGGGCCTGAATGGTCGAGGGGCTAGCGCTCTGGCGCTCGGTACCACAGGGTTCGAGTCCCGGCGGTGCCATGGATGTTTGTAGTGGTTCGGAATCCACTTTAAGCCGTAGGTCTCGGTCTCATATGAATGTAAGAGCGTCACGGAGCAAAAGTCAGACTTCTACTTACGGGTGCTCCATCATAACAGAAGCTGCCCCCTTTCTCTCCATCCATCAGTAGATCACACATGGGATGCCCGTCCCATTCTCTAGGACATTGAGGATTAGTCACAAACAAACAAAGCCGCCAAAGGATTGAACTTTCGCCCTAATGCTCGTAAGCAGAGCGTTGATCATTTCACATACGATACTGTAGTTACCTCCCCCCCAGAGTCCTTCCGAAAGGCACGGCCCTTCACCTTCTTCAGCGTTATGGAAGCAAGGATGCTCCATCTCAACAGAAGCTGTCCCCCTATCCCTCCTTTAATGAGACCACACGGGTTCTTGGACATCGTCTAGATGTTGCTGTCTACCAAGTGGGATAAGAAAAAAAAAATAATATGATACAAACATTTCACATTACTCATTATTTTATAAATAAACAATTACGTAAAAAAATTCTACAACATAAAAAGTATTTAATGAAAAAGTATCTTTTAATATTAATTAATTTTCAAGATACAAAAGCACAGATGAAAATATACGTCCTTTTTATTTCAACAATACTTTTTTCCCATTTCCCTTTATAGAACGTTGGAAAATCTCAACAAATCAACTCATTCTCGACTTAGCAGCATATTTTTCACATTTGTGATTATAAAAATTACATTTGCAATTCTAATTTCCTTCTCAGCTTAAAAAAAAGAATAATATTTAAATCTTTTTTATCCATCGTTTATGATACTACTCAATATTGCTTTGTTCCTAAGGATCAGAAAAATTGTTTATCACTTCATTAGTAACGCATTTTCTGGGTTCAATGGCTTAGAAAAACATTTCATCCAATTAACTATGAATAAAACTTCATAAATCAACGGAACGTGGTATTCCCGAGTAATTATGGAATCTCGGATCAGAGCATTGAGATGATATATATACATATCAATACAAATGAGACCAAACAGAAAAAAAAAACGGTATTTCATTCAGAATTCCGAAATTCATTTTGATTCCAGAACAAACTATCATTTGTTCTCTTTTTCTCAGTCATCCAAGCAAAATTCCAAGAATACAAAAAAGGAACAAAAAGTAATGAAAAGAAACTCCATGAAAAAAAAATTACAAAGAAAATCGTCTGCTTCTTTCTTTTTTCTTTCTACTTCCGTATCATTTCAATTTTTGTCATTCCAAAATGAATAATAGCTTGGAAGAAAATAAGTAGACACTTCGTAAATAAACAATAAAAAAAAGATTCTTTTAAGCGCATATTTTTCGATTTCACATTCTTTTTCTTTTCTTTTTTTTATACTTACACTTCATTTACATGGAAGAAGAATGTTTTCTCGTGTTTTTCTCTTGTTCTAAATATAGAATCATTGACCCAGATGTTGTCTTTAAGTGGCTTGACTCTAGCTTCCTTTGGTACTTTGATCTCGTTTTATTGTACGGTAATGTTTTTTTTTTTTTTTTTTTTTTTTTTTGGCAAATGTTCTTAAAATTTTACAAAGGTTTGCTATTCATTTGAAGTGAAATGTCATATTTCATTGAAAGTAGTCAGTTACTATTTTAAAGAAGTCAGTTCAGTTATTTCAAGGTAATCTTTTTCGGAACATCTACTTTTATACCTTATGACAAAGTGAATAATGTTTCTTAAGACATATGGCAACAATAACATAAGCGAAATTGATGACAGGTTTTATGATAATATATTTATCAAACTTATTTACTAGTCACTCCTTTTTCACTTTGAATAACTGAAACACTAATCACCAAATGTGTTTATTGATGCAGGTACGAAAAGTAGGCCATTTTTATATGTTACAAACTCTTAAATGAATACGTTATTGTTTGAGGATTGCGAATGCTGCCAAAATGATTATTGCAAAAAATATAATCAATTTTAACGGAACATTTTTCGTTTTATCATGTTATGTGAGTAATTCATTTCCTTTTCTCTTTCGATTATTTAATTTACTACAGGAACTAGTGTAATAAAGGATTACATTGAGAAGGAATTTGTATTAATAATTAAAGACAGCAATAAAGTGCAGAAGGAGTTATAAAACCAGATTGTATCACTCCAGCCAATCTGGGGCCTACTTTTCAAAAATATGTACAGAAATAATCTTTGTCTTCATTATTTTGTCTTGTCTTTATTTTTCTTTTGATAGTCGAGATGACAGACCTCATCCTTTTGGTTTCATATTGTAACAATTCATTATCTTGCTGCATTTCGCATATTTTTTCCCATTGTTTTCATGTGGAATTTAATTTGTTTCCAACTTATTTCTTGTTTTTATTTGTTTTGATATTTGAATAAGTTTTGATTTGGCTAATAGGATCTTGTTTACTTTTTATCATTTGTTTTGGTATTTTTTGTTTAATGAGACTTTGATTCATATGTTTGTCATGCGTGGCAATCTGTGTTCCTGGAAAAAAAGAGGTTCCTGGCTATTAAGTCCATGCTAAGTTGTGACTGTTTTAAATACAATGCATCTCTTTGGCGTCTTCTTCTGATAGACGGTCGGTGTATCAAGGTTTACCAATTAGCTGTCAGTTGTCAATTCTTCTTATAAATTCTGTTTCGATTAAAAAAATAGGTCAATTACTGCTCATCTCGCTTAAGGTGGCATCGTCAAGGATGGTGATGCTGGCCATTAGGTTCTTTTCAGCACTATATATATTTCCTATTTGAGAAAAATTTAAAGAAATATCATATGAATTTAAATGTCTTTCTAATACTTTAAAATTTTCTAATGTTTAATATGTCTTAAAAAAATCCCTTTTTTTTTTCTGGTTTCCTAAATTGCTCTGTACGCAGAAAAAAAATGGTTTTCCTGAAATCTAAAAAAAAATGTTCAGCTTAATAGATACAATTCTATGTGTTGATATTTTATGTTTTTATTTCTTGTAAAATTATATTCATTTATCTACCATCCGTATTATATTATGGAACTACGATCAAATTTCTAATTGAATTTGAAAGATTCAAAGCATTTAATTCTTATTAAGTATTTATTAAATCTTAATAAATAATAATCTTTTCTGACTCACTGAATTGTTTTCTGTATCAAAAATAAATATAAATAAATAAATAAGGCAAAGTCTAAGAAAATCAACACAAAATTTTTTTCATCACATTTAAATTGTTTTACATTAAAAAATGAAATTATGTGTATTAATTTTAATTTTAAAATTCATTAATAACATAAATTACAAAAAAATTACTTTTAAAATTAATTAATAACATAAATTACAAAAAAAAATTTTAATTAATAAATAACAAAATCACAATAATAACTAATACTAAAATTAATTTTAAAAGTAATTAATAGCATGCATCAATTACAAAAATAATTAATACTAAAATTAAATTACACAATTAATTTAAAAGTTTATTACCATTAAATTTATTACCTTTCACATTCATTATACCATCTCCGAAATTGGTTTGAAAAGTATTTGAAATTCATATAAAATTTTTATTGCTTACTTCAGTTGTTAACAATGAATAGATTATTTAATTGCATAAGAAAAGAATTCAATTTGGCTGTGTTAACAAAATGATTGATAAAAATTACATTGAATAACAGCAATTCTTTTAAAACTTATCTGACGTAAAGCGATGTAAGTTCATTAAATAATTCTTCGACCTTTACATGAATAAAATATAAATGTTTTTATAATGAATCCATGTGTGCAAATTCATTTTGTTTTGTTCACAAAATAATGGACAAGACTCTATTGTATTCAGTTAAAAGGCAGAAAATAAT